GTGAATCCTGGGTCTCCAGCCGCTGGAATATCCCACTGGTCCACAGGGTCGTCATCACACTCCGTCGGTCGTAACCATGATGTTGCCGCAACTGGATCCCAGCCAATGTCCATCAGTGTGGCTATCATCACCGAAATCGGTCCGCGTACAGAGCTCCACCGCCGTACTCCAGCGCGTCGTAGTCGGTCACGTATACCACACCACGCTGCACAAACTCGTCCATGAAGGTGTGGGTTCCTCTGCCACATCGTTATCCATTCCATGATCACCTGAATGGGGATGTACACTGCTGGGTCCTCATCTGTCGGTTCGCAACCCAACGTCGTCGTGAGGCAACGGCCCTTGGCAGCACCACCAATCATGAACCCAGCCTGTCGTCGCAACTGCAATACCATCTGTCGACTCAGCCCAGCCACTTGATGACCATAGAGTGCCTGAAGTACCGCACCAGTACTCCACAGCGACCGTGAAATCTTTGACAAAGCTCCAATCCTTCGCAACCTGCGAATCTTGCTTGCTCTTCTACACGCACTCTTAATCCGTGTTCTCAACTTCCGTATCGATCGCTTGCGCCCCGCCGAAGTGTCCAAGCCCAAATCGACCGCCTCCGTGACAGCTGACACCGGTAGACCTCGAGCACGTAGTTGGCCCGCAACTCTCCTGGTGATGCTGGGATTCGAGCCAATCAACGGAGGAGGGAGGAGGAGGAGGAGGAGGAGGAGGAGGAGGAGGAGGAGGAGGAGGAGGAGGAGGAGGAGGAGGGGGAGGAGGAGGAGGAGGAGGAGGAGGAGGAGGAGGAGGAGGAGGAGCTGCGCCGCTTGTTTTCGGCCTCTCGGGGGGGGGGCCTTCGCCGCGCCTCGGAGGGCCGTCAAAAACAACGACGCAGAACGAAGCACACAGCGGCCCTGGGGAAGGGGTCCAAACCTTGAGAGTCCACGCATCGAACACTGGCAAGGGGAGGTTTAGGGCGTAAATCTCACCTTTTCTCTCTGGAGAAAAAGAGGTTTTGGGCGTAAGCTGCCCTTTCCTCTCCGGAAAGGGGAGGTCTAGGGCGTAAGCCTCCCCTTACGACCAGGTCCACATCAACTGCGTGTTGGCGTTTCGGGCTCCCTTCCCCAGAGACCAGAGGCGCAGTGGGTAGGAGAACAAATTCTGCTCCCCAAGAGCCATATCATATTTTTATCCGTGCCCACTGCGCCTCGGCCTTTTGGCGCCCCTCCCGAGAAATTCCAGGACGCCCCGGATATGGATGTAAATCTTGCCAGCCAAAACAAGTCATGGGGGGTCTTCGCAATTACAACTCATGGGACGCATAACGACATATCAGTACGTTGTGCCTCTTTTTGAGCCGCACGTCCGACCCGAACATCTAGTACACAAATGTTGTAGTAGATCGTTTCCCGAACGGCATAGTCACTAAGCGCCCACCACGGAGCTTATACTGTAAGATTTCCGAGCGTGTGTGTCGCCCTTGTGTGGCCGACGCACATATCGTTCAAGTGTGGTTGGGCGGTGCTGACAGGAAACAATTCCTGGGAGGTCCTCGTGAGAACGATTAATGACTACCGCCGTTAGCGGAATGAAGCGAATGCCCACCAATGAGAGCACAGATAGGGGCCCCTCTGGCATCCTGCATCCCAGAGTTGGCGGAAGGCCGCGCCGCAAAGGATCGCGAACGGGTGCAAAATAAACGCCCGCTCTTGCGAGGGCTCCGTCGCTACCCCCTCTGCCTTGACATGCGGGGGCGACAGGGAGGCGCTTCGATGTCGCGTTATCTAAACCCGACACGGGTGTTTATTTCGCAACCCACGGTGTTCAACCTGATTGGCGGGGACAGTCAGCAAGGTCAGACCAAAATACATTCGATAGCAAGCCAAATTGAGCCGGATTGAACGGGATTGAGCCGGCTTCAGCAGGACTTAGCCGGATTTGGCTGGTTTTCGACAGCGGCTCTACCAGTGCCGATGCTGAATTTAGCCTTCCAAGGATTGCATACTACGACGCGGGTCGGCACTTCGGCAGTCTGAGCTCGCACGGCAAAACTCAGGAAAATAGATATTATTAGATTCAGGTGCTACAATTTCCTTACTAGCGTTTCTAGCGTTTCGCTAGGATGTCCGTCTTCAAGGTCATTATTTCTCCTGGTGCCATCTGTCCATGCAACCGACCGCATCCACGATTCCTGCAAAGAGACAACTCCTGAACGCGGCTTTCGGTAACTGGGCAAACGAGTGCGCGTCTGCTGCACGCGCCAATGTGTTTCGTATACGCGGCCGCATGGACTTGGGGACGAAAGTGTCAATGTGTGCATGTGATTGTGCACGTGCTTGACAACTCCGCGCGCCATTAGAAGCGCCAAGGACACGCCACCCCCGACGACAACCGCAAGTCGACCCCCCATCGCGGACAACTGTGATAACAAACAGCATCGTTCCCGTGCCAGTGCAGTGCATGATTGCGATACATCCTCGCATGATTTGCTGCAAGGGTGCACGTGTTCATGCATGCATGTTTTGCGCTTCCGTAGCCGCCGAGGCTCGAATCTAGAAGTCACTCTTTGACATGAACTAGAGCCAAGCATTCAAAAGTTGCGCGTCCACAGCTTGAGAAATCTTTGGTTTCATCGTGTCGACCCCCCATCGCGGACAACCACCGAGCACCGAAAGGCGCTGCAGCGCACGCAGCGGTGCGCCGACGAGGCGGAGATGACCCCTGGCCGGGGGTGGCCTCCCCACGCTTCCTACCTGTGCTGTCTGTGCACGTCTCTGTGCGTGTCTACTGTTAGGTCGGGCGTGCCCTCCTACAAGCGAATTTTGGACGAACATAAAGAAGAATCAAACAAATCAAAAACCCATTATCAAACATCGTCCCCAGACTATGTTCTATTATCTTTGAGCATTCCTCCTGTAGAAAGACATGCCCGACTTAAGTCTATTGCTCGCTATCGGCCGGCTGCTGACACAACGTCCCAGAAAAAAAAAACTAAAACTGTCTCTGCATATGTACGTAGCTGCACGGGAGGTGGGCCTCCCCCTGTGTGCGCCGGGCAGACGGCCGAATAAACATCCGAACGCCTCCCCGAACCACCCCAACGACTGGACTGGCCTCTCGCTCAATGTCAGAATCCCTCGACACAAGCCTTCTTCGAGAACTCGCTCAATGCCAGAATCTCTCGACCCAAGCCTTCTTGGAGATCACGCCTATTCCAGTCCACAACCAAGAAAAATCCTCGCAGGACTCAGGGTGAGGATGCGGCTGGGAGTTCGTGCAGTGGGGTAGGTAGAATCCCAGCTGCGGCAATGGACATGTGGCACCCGAAATACGCACGATGTCCCCAACACGGCAGGCAGCCGCGAAAAGAAGACTCCTGCCGTGCACGAAGATGCAGCCCTATCGCCAGAGCAGAATGCGCGCGGGGACCATTGCTCCGAGCGCGGGGGCCACGTGCTCTGAGCCGGCTCGGCCACTGGAGCGGTAGCGTCGATCTCACCAGCCATTTCGCAAGCGCTTGCGTAAATAGGAAGCACAAGCTTGCATTCGACGAATACGGTGCATGTGGGGAGCATGTGTTGGCTGCGCGCGGCACACGCGTCAATGGAGTTCCCTGGCGGGATAAGACGATGTCAAACGTTCTCTTATCACCACCTGTCGTGGTAACATGCGGCGGGCATGGCATTGCATCTAGTATGCCGATGTGCACGTGCGCGAACGTATACTAGCAAACATGCACCATGTATGTGCACACATGTGTACATTCACGTACGTGCATGTGTATGTGTACTTATGATGAGAACCTGCCGTTTGCGTGTCTTGAGAACCGCCGACGGCCTCTCGTCGGCGCGCTGACGGGAGTGTGTGTGTATAGTCAGGTCGAGCGCCAACGATCTGTGACATTGTGCTTTGTCTTACCATACTTCGCATTATGAGCGTGCACACATCGAACATACCGAAAGCCCCCGCACGTCACCGCAACCGCCACCTGAACCGCACACAACGTGCACAGATCGAACCTATCAGAGCGCGTCGCCTGAAGTGTTGTTTTCCTTCGAGGAGCAAAGGACATGCATAAACATAACTCAATTTACGGAGCTCCACGCGGATTTTTTGGATCGGCGCTGGACCTTCCTGGCGGCGCCTCTGGCGCGCTCAACGCGCCACGGGAGGGGTCCAGCGCAGATCCAAGAAATCTGCGAGAACCTCCGACTGTTTATGTTCATGCAGTCCGCTGTTCTTCGATTCGCGCCCCCTGCTGCTCCTCCTCGGGCTCCTGCTCCTCCCTCCTCTTCCTCCCCCCCTCCTCCATCCCCCCCCCCTTTACTCTTCCTCCTCCTCCTCCCCGTCCTCCTCCTCTTGCTCCCCCTCCTGATCCTCCTCCCTCCTGCTCCTGTCTCCTCATCCTTCTCTCCCTCTTCCTCCTTCTTCTGGGGCGAGAGTCATGTCATGATGAGATTGGCCCAGGATGCGTTCCAGGATTTCCAGAGTATCTAGCGGCACAGCCGATGCGGAACACCTGGAAACCTCTGATCCCCTCTGCTCCTGCAACTGCCTCTTCCCCCCCCTGCCTCCTCCTCCCCGCCGCCTGATCCCCGCCGCCTGCTCCCGCGCTGCGCTCGCTCCTCCAATGACGCCTCCCCCGATCCCTCGCGGGCGGCTCCCGGCACCCGCCTCCCTCCCAGAAGCCCCAGCCCTTCTTGGGCGGCGCTCGCAGAGGGGGGACGGAGGAGAGGGGGGGGAGAGGGGGGGGGGGAAAGGCTTCTCAGGAGGAGGCTGCTTCTTTGAAGGCGCCGGCCCTAGATCTGTAGACAAAACGCCCGCGCCTTCTAAGAAGCACGGGTGCTTCGAAGAAGCCTTCCCCCCTCCCCCGACCCTCCTCTGTGCGTCGCTGTCTTCAACGATCAGACAAACAAGAAACAGCATACGCATGATGCTTGGGATCGGCGCTGGACTCCCTCCCTGGCGCGCGGAGCGCGCAAGGGGCGGCGACGGAGGTGGCGCCAGAGGCCGGTCAAGCCTCCGTTGATGAAGAGCCTTGAGAAACTGACGCATGACCACGAAGAGAAGGCCAAGAAGCTGATCAAGGCACGCCATCTGCATAGCAAAGCCGAGGAGGACGTGAAAGCCCTAGTCGACGGACATTACCCGAATGGTATCAGAGCGTTCAGGTCGCCTATCCACCAAGTTGAATTGGACTCGATTTGGGATCGGTGCGCGACCGACGCCTACCAGTTCGATTTGTTGGGCACGGCGTGGACTGTGCCCAAACAGGCAACGCGCAGGGAGGCCAAGAGGATCATCCACATGGCCCACGCCCATGCGTTGCGCAGCATCGATGCCGAAGCCTTGCAGGAGAGCGTGCAGCTGGCCATGGAACCGGCCTCCAAGCAGCAATTCATGAACGAGTGCCAGGGGATGGTTGACAAGGCTTTCACCATGCGTGCAACGGAGCTCGGCCTAGACGAGCCGATGGTTAAGCACCGGAGACGCTCTTCCAGGACGCTGTCTCCCACATCGCCTCCACGATCGTCGACAAAAAGTTTTCGAACTTGGACCAGCAGGCCCTTGGTGCCATGGCTGTGGACGCTTCGGCCCCGAACGAGACGACCACCGGCGACCAGACCGACGCCACCTCGAAGTTCGTCGCGTTGATGGCCCAGCCAAAAAACGGAGCCGCCCCGCCTGCTGGCCAGCCCGAGCCGCAGCCCGAGGGGCAACGCCGTCCCCCGAAGGGCAAAGGCAAGAAGGGCAAAACCAAAGACAAAAGCAAGGGCAAGAGCAGCGAGGACAAAGGCAAAGGCAAGGGCAAGAGCAGCCAGAACAAGGGCAAAGACAAGGGCAAGACCAGCTACAACGCACCGAAGTCCGGACAGTGGCACTGGATCCCGAAGGGGGCAACGTGGCCGTTGGAACGGACCAAAAAAGGAAAAGGCAAAGGAAAGGGCAAAGACTCGAAAGGCAAAGGGTTTGGAGGAAGAGCAAAAAAGTGGCAGTGAAGGATGCCAGAGACCGCGGCGCTCATCTTCGGTTGTTATTGCAATTGTGTTCTGGCTCCAATGTGGGTTTGTGGACCCAGATGTTGCAATATTCAAGACTGTCTGAACGAGTGCGTGTCTTCGATTACGAATCGAGCTCACTTAGGAGCTCTGCATGTGTCCCGTGGCCGATAGTGTGGCTGCTGGCTTGTCACAATCCAAAACACATCTTCTTCACAAGAAAGTTGCCGGATTACCAGTCTTTGGCTGCAGACGTGAACCAGTTTGCAAATAAGTTGAAATGGCGTTGGCATTTTCTCGGCTCCCCACGGACTGCGCACATCAGAATTCCTGGCGTCGTAACGCCACCGTGTCCTCATTTCGTCCCAGTGCACATCAACTGCTGGGTCTCCGATTTGAAGTCGGTGGTGGCAACTGCTTTCAAGAATTGCAGGCGACGCTGGGTGCACAGGATCCGACCGACCAATGTGTCGCCGCTCACAAAATGGGCATTACGCTTGATGTCGCAGTCGCCTTACGTCGCGATACCAAACGACAAGGAAGTGGGGTTCACACTTGTGCACCGTTGCCATGATCGTCTCATCGATCAGCGCATTTTGCAGAATGGTAACTACGAGGAGGTCACCCAGCCAATACAATTCACTGGCATTATGGAGTGGTACAGTGACGTCGCTCAAGCTGTTGGGCGGCACGAGGACGATGAGTCGCTTGCTTTCCAGATCAAGCGCAGCATGCACGTCCCGGGAGCCAGCATAACAGCCTTACTCCAGAAAAGATGCAAGACTCATAAGCAGCCAGTAACTTTTCGAGCACTTCATACTCAGCCCAAGTACTCGTTCGCAGGCCTGTCCCGGTGGGTTTCCAGAGTCCTGCGCAGGTATTTGGACACGATCCCGTGGATTGTACGCGACGCCAGGGACGCAGCAAGACGTCTCAGGACACGCGCGTTCCCTAGGAACATGCGCTGGGCAAAGGTAGATTTGAAGGAGTTCTTCATGAGTGGCACGGCGGAGGAGCTGGCGCGGGACGCGTGCTTGCACTTGCACGGCGATTTCAAGCTTCTGGTCCAACGCGCTCTACTTCTGCTACTCAGCTGTCAATTCGTGGTCAGCCCTCACGACCCCGCCACCCGTCATCAGGTCATCAAGGGGTCGGGGATGGGGTTGATCCACAGCGGCGACGTCGCCGACGCTTGCCTCACCAATCTCACGGAAAAGTTCTTCTCCCAGGCCTCGCTCATCAGAGATTTTCAAGTGTGGGTGTACATGAGGTTCAAAGACGACATACTGGTAGGATGCACTAAGTACGAACTGTTTTTGAATTTTTTTCGGCTCATCCAGGGGCGCGCAGTCTACTTTCGTATGGTCCTGGACGAGATAGGGCATAGAGATACCCATTGGCTACAGCTTTGGGTCCATAGTGACTATGGCAGGGCGTCCGCTTCCCCTGCCTTCAAAGATACCGCCCTGGCCATTCCTCTGTCCCACTCGAGTGGTCACCCCATTCACGTGCATCGCTCGTGGCCGGCGGCCATGTTGCGTACACTGTTTGGCCTGTGTGCGTTTCCTGTGCATAAGGAGTGGGCCAGAGGTGAATTCATACAGAGACTCACACTTGCGAATGCCCACCCCTCCCTCTTAGACGAATTGCGGTCCTGGGAGCCTCGCGCAGGGCGCCCGAGGAAAACTGATGATGCAGCGTGGTTGGCGGTTCCGTACCACCCTCTCCTGTATCATCACATCAATTTTGCGTTGCGTGAGCTATCTGTGTCTCATTCCTTCGCAAATCTTCTGTGCGACAATTCAAAGCAGGCCGCAAGTGTGCGTGCAGCGTGGCGGAACAGTCTGCCTTCGCTGCAGAGCATACTGCAACGCGACCACGCGGTAAAGTGCCAGCGTGTCTAATGGAGGTTGGTTGGGGTTGGTTGGTGGAATCTGTTGTTGTTGCTGCGTACAGTGCAGTAGCAACGAACGCAGAGTCTCCTGGGAGGTGCAGAAACAGAAGCGTTACGACGTTTTTGGTGTTTTTTTCTACCTCCGTAGTTTTCGGCCCGAGTCGCGAGAGAGCTTAAGCGCCAGTTGGGCTTCTCAAGAGCCCACGGGCCGGCGCTAACACTTACCATCGCCTGTTGAAAAACATCGTGCGCCCATCATCCACACGGGGAAAGGCTTCTTAGGAGGAGGCTGCTTCTTAGAAGGCGCCGGCCCTAGATCTGTAGACAAAGCCCGCGCCTTCTGAGAAGCACGGGTGCTCCGAAGAAGCCTTCCCCCCTCCCCCGACCCTCCTCTGTGCGTCGCTGTCTTCAACGATCAGACAGACAAGAAACAGCATACGCATGATGTTTGGGATCGGCGCTGGACTCCCTCCCTGGCGCGCTGAGCGCGCAAGGGGGCGGCGACGGAGGTGGCGCCAGCGGCCGGTCAAGCCTCGTGTATCTGAGATCGCAACGGGATTGTGCCGGAGTTCGACCACGGACATACCTAGGGGAACAAAAAGTGACATAAACAAAAAAACTCGGAGGTCCGCGCGGATTTCTCGGATCGGCGCTGGGGCCCCCCCGGCGGCGCCTCCGGCGCCGCCCCTGGCGCGCTCCGCGCGCCAGGGAGGGGGGTCCAGCGCGGACCTCCGAGTTTTTATGCTTATGTCACTTTTGGTTCCCCTGATACCATCGCCGATGCTGATTTACATCCCCCAGGCGTTGCATCCGAGCTGACACGTCGAGCCTTCCACCCCAAGAAGACCCCCGAGACCGCCAGCGGGCGCCCCAGGAACCTCCCAGAATGGCCCAAAGGGCTTCCAAAAGGCCAAAGATCGGGGATGGACAGACCCCCCTTCAGTAAAAGTGGTTTAGTGAAAACGACCTGAGGCCCAAACCTGGCGGGCGCAAGCTTGGAAAATAACGGCCACGGCGCCCTCTCGAGAACCGAAAACGAACAATTCACTAATCGACGTGTCACTGTTGGGGGTTCTGTCCACCCCCGAAAAGAGAAGCCCCCAGAGGCCCCAAACGGTCTCCTCAAGAGACCTCACCCATGGATCTCTTGCCTGTTCTGGGGGTCGGCGGAATGCCGGGAAGACGTAAGACTCGGGTTCGGGGAAATCGGGTTGGCCTGACCGGGCCGTCAGGAAAATGACGACCCAATCTAAGACTCGACGCGGGCCCCCACTGCAAACATCCCACGAAAACTAGACTATCAAAATTCAGGACGGGCCCGTGAAAAAGCGTCGGTACATCCGAGCTCCGGCGTGCCCTTACCGAGCGAAGAACGGTATACAATAAACTGTTCCGCCGTCGGAGACGCCTGCCCACCGGGCGGCTGCACAGTTTATACCCCTAGGTGGCACCGTAGGGATATAAGCTTTGCAGCCGCCCTGGGAGCAAACGTCCCCGACGGCAGAAAAGTTGATTGTGTACCGTTCTTCGCCCCTTGATGCTCGAGTCTAGAATGGATTTATCCTCGTCCTAGCCCACCCCAGGGTCACTCCTACGTTCGGCGGCGGGCGAGGGGGGGAATTGAGAGAAGGAGAATGCCTTAGCAGAAGGCTCCGAAGTCCCCCGGCCTTCTGAGAAGTTTGTAAAGCCTTCCCGAAGACACAGAACATGTATCATAAGGCGCGAGGGCTTCTGAGAAGCCCCGCCGCCTTCTGAGAGGGCCTTCTCCTTCTCGCTTCCCCCCCTCGCTCGCCGCCGATATGTGTATGTTGTCGAATCCGAACCCCTGGCCGCTTTCGGACCTGCCCGCACTGCACCCCGCCTGGGGCCGGGCACGAACGCGGGGGGGTAGGAGGAAGGGGTGAAAGCTTCTTAAGAGGAGGCTGCTTCTCAGAAGGCGCAGGCTCTGCATCTATGGATAATGGGAACAAGCGATAAAACAACAAATTCTGTGGCGGACGATTAAACACATAGTTTTCGTCGGCCCGATTGCCTCCACAAGAAAGGAGGGGGGGAGCAGCCCGACAGAAGGCGGACAATCCTGGGCTGCCTGGGGGGCCGGAGGGGGCCCACGAGGCCGCCAAAAAGTTGCGAACTACACCCTTCAAGCAGAAAATGTTTTGACCTCGTCCTCCTCCTCCTCCTCCTCCTTTTCCTCCGCTTCCTCCGCTTCCTCCTCCTCCTCCTCCTCGTCCTGCTCCCCCTGCTCCTCCTCGTCCTCCTCCTCCTCGTCCTCCTAGTCCTCCTCCTCCTGATCCTCCTCATCCTCCTCATCCTCCTCCCATTCGCCGCGGTCGTCCGCGACGACGACTGCGCCGACCAGAAGGACGACGAAGAAGACGACGAAGACGACGACGAGGACGAGGACGACGGATGGCGACGACGACGACAACAATGCACTGCGGATGCGCTGTGAGGCGGGGGTGCTGCGCAGGCCCGCTGTAGTCGTCGACGACGACGACGACGGACGACGACGACGACGACGACGTCGACGGACGACGACGACGCCGAGGACGACGAGGACGACGACGACGACCGACCGACCGACCGACCAGCCGACCGACCGACGACGACGACGACGACCAGGACCAAGATGAGGACGAGGACGAGGACAAGGACGAGGACGACGGACAACGACGGCGACGACGCACTGCGGATGCCTTATGGGGGGAGTGCTGCGCAGGCCCGCTGTAGTCGACGACGACGACGACGACAACGACGACGACGACGACGACGACGACGACGACGACGACGACGACGACGACGACGACGAGCCGTCGAGCGCGAGGGACGCCGCGCTTTGGGCCAGCTTCTTGTTTCTTTCTTCCGAGGCGTGGTCGGCAGGCGGTGCGCGCGAGGCCAGCAGCCATGTCGGGCGACGGTGCAGGAGCGCCACCGCCGTGGAGGCGCAGGGCGTACTGGGTCTGTCAATGCAAGGAGTGGAACTGGTGCGACAAGAGGGCGACCTGCAAGTCTTGCGGGAAGGAGGCGCCAGCGTGGGCGAAGCGCCTGCGCGCCGCGCCCCAGCCCCAGGCCGACGGGGAGGGCTTCGTCCTGCAGCCCAGGGGGCGCTCGCATCAGCGTGCTGCGCGCCGAGCTGGTGAGGCCTCCAGGGCTGCTTCGGCTGCCAGCACCGCCCCGAGCAGCGCGCCCAACAGCAGGGTGCGGCCGCGGGGCGGAACCAAGCCCCCCCCGTGGCGTGAGGAGCGCGAGGAGCAGCCAGAGGAGCCCGCTTCGAGCCTGGAGCGCAGGCTTGAGGGAGCCCAGGCGCGCGTCTCCAGCCTCCGCGAGGCCGTCGCCATGGGCGGGACCAGCGAGGCCTTCCAGCGAGAGGCCAGGGCGGCCCTCCTCGCAGCGGAGCGCGCTGCTGAGAGGGCCGAGGCAGAGCTCCGTGAGGCCCAGCAGCTCGGGAGGCCCCCCCACGCTGTCCTCCACGGGGGTGCCAACGCCATGCAGAAGGTTGAGAAGCAGATCACCGCCACCAGGGCCAAGCGCGAGCAGGCCGTGCAGCGAGCGGAGGCCCTCAGGGGGGAGATCGCGGCGAAGCAGGAGGAGCTGGCCGAGGTCGAGTCTGCGGTCGAGGACTTCAACGGTCAGCTCAGCAAGCTCGAGGAGTCGAAGGCGCAGACGGTCCAGCAGGCCCTCCAGCGGGCCATCGAGGTGTGCGGTGGCAAGCGTCCCCTCGAGACCGCAGTCGGGGGCCTCGTCACTCAGGTCGGCCAGTTGGGCGAGATGCTTGGCCGTGGCTCGGAAGGCGTTGCGCCCAGGCTCCTGGAGATCATGGACATCATCACCACGCAGAGCGCCGCCATCTCGGACATGCTCCGCCCTGCTGCGCCTGCCGCCGCTGCTGCCCGCTGGGCCGACGGCCTCGGCGGGGACGGGCTCGCCGTCGACGTCGACGAGGAAGGGCCCCCCGCCCCTGCCCCTGGGGCCACCGGCCCCGTGGAGCCGCAGGCGCCAGCGGAGGCCGCAGGCCAGCAGGTGCGGCCAGGCCCGCCCACCCAGAGGGCGTGCCCTGCAGTGGGGCCCTACGGGCCAGCCGCCGCCCGCGGGCAGTCGGGCGCTGCGCTCGGCGCTTGGCCCCAGCCTGGCCAGGCCGAGCGTAAGATCCTGGTGGGCGCCAGGGACGAGCACGAGGACGGCCAGGCCTTGGCTACCCTGGCGGCTCCTGGGGGCTACGCTCCTATGGGCCCTTCTCGCTCCTAGCAGCTCAGCAGCAGCGACAGCCTGGGGCCCTGTGCCGCCGCCTCCGCCGTCTGACTGGCCGACCTTGCAGCGGTCGCGGGGAGGGCCACGGCGGGAAGGCGGCCCTGCTCCTGGGCCGAGGTGCGGTCGGGACCGCTGCGGCGTCCCCCCGACGGCCTCGAGCGGGCAGACGGCGGGAGGATTCAGCCCTCCGACGTCGCAGCCGTCTGCCCCGTCCCAAGGGAGTAGAGGGGCCTCCGCTGGGTTCACTCCAGCCGCCCTTGAGGCGCGAGTGGGCGGGGCCGAGCCAGCTGGCGAGAGGGCCGCAGCGCAGCTCCGTTCAGGCTTCGGCGTGCTGGGCCTCAACGGCAACACTTGGGACCGCGCCATGGAGGTGCTCGAGGCCTACATTTCGCGGGAGGACGAGCGCCCGCACCTGGTCACAGTTCAGGAGGTCCGCCTAGGGCCCCGCCAGCTGGAGAACGCGCGCCGCCGTGCTCGCGGCTTGGGATACGCGGCTTTCTTGCATGCAGCTGCGCCCACTGGGCAGGCGGCCCTAGCCCATTCAGGAGGCGTCGGGGTGCTTGTCCGCGAGGACCTCCAGGCGAGGGAGGCGCAGTGGCGAGTGCCAGGGGACTTCAGGCACCGCATGGTTGCAGTCAGGGTAGCTGCGGCCTCGGGTTTGCAGCTTCTGGCTTGCTCCTTGTACCTGCAGGACGGCCTCGGGCCCAAAGGGGTCAACCTGGACATCATCGGCGGCCTGGGGGACCTGGTGCTGACCGAGGGGCTCCCGTGGCTCGTGCAAGGCGACTTCAACATGGAGCCTGGGACCCTCTACGAGCTCGGCTGGCCAGCCCTTCAGCGAGGTGCCTACCTTGGGCCAGCCGAGCCCACGTGTATGGCGTCTGGCACGGAGCGGGTGTACGACTGGTTCGCGAGCTCGTTCTGCCTCTCCCACGGGGTCGCCAACACCGCAGTCCTGGACGGCTACGCATTGCACCCGCACAGGCCAGTCCGACTGCGGCTGCAAGACCTGCGGCCAGATGCGCTGGTGCAAGTCCTAGTGAGGCCTAGCCGCTTCCCCGACGTGGAGGCAGCCAACTGCAGGGCCCACGAGGACGCCGTCGTGCAGGTGTTTCGGCGCAGCGGTCGAGCGCAGTGGCAGGCTGAGCCGTGCACCTGGAGCTGGGAGGCAGGCGAGTCGCCCCACGACCTCCCTGCTGCGGTGTGCGAGTGGG